CTTATCCATCGAAAACGTTCCTCTTCAATTGCCATGTAAGAATCAACGATATATTGTTGAAGCAATCTACCTCCTTGAAGAAGACTTTTTCCTTCATGTAATCTTTGTTGAAGACGAAAACAATAATATTGTCTCATCGTCAATTTTTGTCTTTTTGATTCACTGTTTGACAAGTTTCTTAAAGGAATGTCAGTTCTATAACCATCTTCACCATATGGGTGTATCAATGGGTATGTCATTGACATGAAACTTGGATGCAAATMTGTGATTCTTTGAAGACCTGTAGTTTGATGCTCAACAATTATATCACGATGGCAATTCGACTCTGTAAAATCCCCGACTATTAAACCTGCAAYTTCTGAAGCAGTCGGTATATTATATTGACGACCATCTGTTGTTCTGTTTCCCTTGAGGCACAATCGAAATGAAGAGTGTGGAGATGATTTGAATCTATCTCTCACCATACGGAAACTTTTTACAAGAATGTTATGAGAATCCAACATTTGAGATAAGTCGTGCACAATTTCATGGTCCAACATAGATGCTCGACTGTTGTCCTGAAATGTATTGATTCTGTTACCAATCTCATTGTCAGTATCATATATATAAAGTTGTGCAAATTGTGGTTTTCGCCCATTCTCTGGCAACAGAGATCCAATGCGGTGATAATTTTGGCCACTCATACAGAACACGTATGGGCCCTTTAAGTTATTAATAGATGAATCAATACGACCACCCATTGACGTGAACGCAAAAATGGCATTATACGTTCGGATGTTTTTTTGAAACTGAACTCCTTTTTGCCCAGAAGCATCACTCATGAGATATTGCATGTATTCGGGWGGTTCCTTTAATAATGGCACTTGAACACGCCCCTCCATGCAACAAAATGAAAATTTTGGTTGCGATGTAGTCCGAGTTCTGGTGTTCCGTTCCTCATACCATAACATTGCGCCACAATGATGATGAAAAGTGTATGTAGGAGGTCCAAAATACCATGCTTGTGTCCAATTAACTGTGGTGAATTTAAAAAATGAGAAATTAAGCATCATAAAGTAATATGAAAGCACAAAAGTATAACAAATATTTCTAAATAAATAATAGTTACCTTGTGCATGTCCGGTTTGTACGTTGTGAGATTCGTATAAGGTATTTTGAGTTTCAACTTGGCAAGTTAGGGTGTTTGCAGAACTCTCGGTATTATGGCCATTTCCTATATGAAAAAAAAGTTGGCAAAATGGAAATTGTGTTATATTATGATGTTAGCATAACTGAAAGCTTATTTATGACTTGAATAAGTGGTTTACCTTGACTTTCAACAAGATATTTGATGTTGGTGTAGGCGGTTGAATTTGAAAAAATGTTCAAAGTTTGCGAAAGACTCCGAAGAGTTATGTGCAAATCACGATGCCTGTACTTGTTATAAATGAGGATTAACTTGCGATTCAGTCGTGCATGCTTTCTAATTCTGTCTCTAACAAATCGTAAGTTGTTTCCCATCATTCCATTTGAAGAGCTCGGTTGGTCTTTTTCCAATTGTCGCTTATGCTTTTTATGATGACGACAAATACACATGAACAACTTTTGAAGGTTATGAACATGCTCTTGTGACTCCGGTAAATGTACAGTATCTTGAATTAACGCGTCAAACAGTTCCATTTTATGCCAGGGTACACCTTGAAAGAGAGTATTGGAGTTAAAAATTGGTGGAATAGATTAAAGTTTGTATAATTATATGAAAAATTAACATATTCACGTGACAATTAAATAGCAGTTAATGTTAAAAGTTATCCAAACCATTGTAAATATAAAGAGTGTTTTTCTTGCTCGAGATTTCTATCATCAATATATAACATTTTATCTACCCTTTTGAATTTCAATATTAAGTGTTAATAGCATAATGGGTGAATACAATCTAGAATGCAAAGGTCGTCTTAAAAATATGTGAACTTAAGTATAAAATGTAGAGGTTTGAAAGACAATCATGTTTGTGGTTTTATGCATAAATAGATTGAAGATAACCTGGAAGAAGAATTGACGACTACGTTCTCAAAATTTTGGAAAGGTTGATTCACTGATATCTGGTCAAAAAAAGAACAAAAAAAGCTATAATAAGTATATTTACGACAATGAAAGTAAGTTTATAGGAAATATTATGTATATGCAAGAAGTTAGGACTTAATTTCCAAAATGGTCCAAATGGAAGMACAACCACCTAAAGGTTTATGATTCAACATAAATTGTATTGTAAAGATTTAGTAGGCATATGAATAAAATATTGTAGATTAAGGACGACAAACTCATGTATATAAAAACTCAAATAATGTTGGAAGAAAATTATTTCTATAGAAGTGATAACAAATATCATTTAGTTAGAAGCTTACCTAGATAATGAATAAAATGACTTTTGGAAGAAGGAGAATGGATGCTTCCGTTGCACACTGCGATTCTAGAGTTGAAGCAATATGCAAAGTGTCTATAAAAACTATTGTA